GGGGGGGGGGGGGGGGGTGATGAAACAGAGAAAGAGAAAGAGATATTTGTTGTTCCACTTATTTATGTATTCATTGGTTGATTTTTGTATGTTCCCCTACTGAGGATTGAACCTTGGCATATGAGGATAATGTTCTAACCAGTTGAGCTACCCAGCCACAATACATGGTACCTCCCATTCTCTAGATATTTTTAGAAGCAGTACTCATCAGTTAAAAAAAAAAAACCTTCAATGATTTCCTATAGCCCTCAGGAAAGACCTCAAAATTCCTTTGGCACTCATGGTTAAACACATTTTACTATAACTTAGCTTTGGGACCTAGTCAACCATTAGTCCCCTATGCAAAATTTCTGATCCATCCAAATGGGTCTCCTAATGTCCTGAAAAAAACAAAAACACCCCTCATAGTGTTTCCTTTTAGGAAAACTAACCTAATTATAGGAAAAGTCTTCCTAATATTGTTCACCAATATAAATTCATCAAGGTCTAGCTCAAGTGACAACTTATTCTTGCTCTCATTTTGGATAATATTTTGAAAACCACCACGTAGTTCTTAATTGTATGTGAGGCATGACCACCAAATGAGATTGGCCTTGACAAGAAATATGGTCACTTTCCTTAAACTACATACTCTGCATCCCTAAGTAAAACAAGCTTCTTAAAAACAAGGACCAGACTTATTAATCTTGTTCCTCTTCTCATCATATGTCCTCCCCCCTTCTACCTACACACTCAACATTTGCCCAAAACATATATTCAATATCTGTCAACTGATAGGTAAAGTCAGAATAGGTAAGGTTAGTGGTAGACACCAACCAATAACTAACCAAAGGAAAGTTCTATGCTTCAGCCTGTGTTTTAGTTTTTTCAACTATAAAATGTAGATAACAATGCCTACCTCAGGGGGCTGTTCTATATATTATGTTACACATATAGAACTGCGTTATGAACTTCAAATTACTGTACCAATACCCATTATTATTTCTCTTAATTCTTGATGTAGCAGAACTTGGGATGAACTAAAAGGCATTTTGGAGCCATGTTCAAAATGACTCTTGATTCCATCTCCTCAAACTTGTTACACGGAGGCCTTTCAACTTAGAGCTCCCGGGTTCTGGCACGAGTTGCCTAGGTTACCTGGCACCTCCGCCACCCGGTTAACAATCACGCCCATCACCCCCTCGTTATGACCTGATTGGCTGACTGGCCAGGCCCAGCACTCACCTGGCAGTTCCCGCATTAGGTAGAAGGGACCGCAACCAGCTGCTGACTTGTCAGCACCGGGCGGGGCCGTGGCCGCGGTGGGGGGCGGAGCCGTGCCGGGCCCCCCGCCTGGAGGAGGAGGAGGCGGGGGTGGAGGTTTTCCTGGTCCGAAGCCGAGTGCGGTTGGGGGCGGGGGTGGGTCAGCCTGAGCTCCGAACAGCGCCGTGAAATTCTCCATCTTTCCTTCTGCCCCAGCGCTGTCCTGGTGTCTGGCGCTAGTGGTTTTCATTGGACAATCCTTTTCCGGCGTACCGTCCTCTTCCTCCATGAGCCACTGATCATTGGATGCCTCGGGGCCTGCCTACCTCGTTCCGGCAACTACTTCCGTCGCTTTATGAGTGCGTACAGGAAGTACTAGCTAACCTTATTCCCCGGCCATAGTCGCATATCCAATAAAATGACTTAGATGGAAAAGCGACAGCTAGATTGACCAATAAAGTATCATATACCTTTTTCAGTGCGTACCGTAGCGTCCAATCAGAAATCGACTTTTGGTCCAGAGGCGGTGCATCCACGACTCGGCCCACTGGAAGTCTCAATGGTGGAAGAGGCGGGGCCAGGCCGACGGACACCCGAGAGCGGCCTGCGCCGCCGGCCAAGAAGATGGCGGTCCTGGCACCTTTGATTGCATTGGTGTATTCGGTGCCGCGCCTTTCACGATGGCTGGCCCGACCTTACTACCTTCTTTCAGCCCTGCTCTCTGCTGCCTTCCTACTCGTGAGGAAGCTGCCCCCGCTCTGTCACACTCTCCCCACGCAACGCGAAGACGGCAACCCGTGTGACTTTGACTGGGTGAGCGATCCCCGCCTTAGCACCCCGCGACCTTGACGGTCCCTTTCTCTGTGGTTGCATCCGAGATTCCGCGCCTGTAGCGGGCTTACCATTAACGTATAGGGCCTGGGCCGTAATCGAGTCTAAACCTCTTGGTGTTTGATGAAGACGGTAAACACGGTTAGCCTGCACGACAGCCAGACCCCAATCTGCGTGTGTGAGTGCAGCCGCCCACAGTGCGGCTCACCTGTAAAGCCTCCCAGAGCCTTTGAGATGCACAAGGAGTCGTGTTCCCGTTCTGCCGGTGGGGACGTTGATCTCGGCGTGATGAGGCGGCTTGTCCAAGGTCACACGATTAGGACCTGAAACCATGCTCCCGGCCGTATTACCTACACACTCTTACCACCCGCTTCTCAATGCACACCACATGCTACGAGCTATGCTGCATTCGGAGGATGCAGAAATGAATACAGTGGTTACACCAGTCGGAAAGGAATTGTAAAAAACACACCGAAGAGAAATCTTCCTGAGTAGGGGTGCAGGGAGCGCCCAGACAGACCAGCCGAAGCTCTGGGCCCTCTGCTGGATGGCAGCATCTGTTTCTGAGGAAGGAGGGCCATCCCGAGTGTTGATCTTTTTTCCAAAAAATGAGTCTTGACCTTTAGCAGAGCCCACTCCCTTACTTTTATCCTCCATCCCTTGTTTACTCTTTAATATTTCCTTTGTCCTTTCCCAGACCATTCTAGTAATTAGCTTAAGGGTAGCCATGCTACTTCAAAAGATCCTATTTTTATCTGATAATCCTATATTACTTTCACCAAAATGGGACTAAAAAATATAACGGATATTACTAAAGATTTTACTAAAGAGGTAGCTTAAAACTCTGGCTTATAGTGTCCTTAACAAAGAACAGTAAAATTGTGGAGAAATGACTAGACACAGAAGTTTTAGGCTTCCAAGAGGCGACTAACTATAGGAAGATAAACTAATGGTATATAAAGTCTAGTTTGTTATATAGATTCCTCTGGTGCTGTCTTCAAGCTAATAGGGATTAAGGTTATCTCCCTTGATTAACTTTTGTCCTTCCTGGTAGAGTGGGTTGCAGCGGTTCTCAACCTGTGGGTCGCGACCATCGGAAAACACACATAGCATATCAGATATTTACATTACGATTCATAACAGTAGCAACATTACAGTTATGAAGTAGCAACGGAAATAATTTTATGGTTGGGGGTCACCACAACATGAACTGTATTTTTTTTTCTTTTTTTTCATTCTTTTTTTTTTTTTTTAAATATGTTTTATTGATTTCTTACAGAGAGGAAGGGAGAGGGATAGAGAGTTAGAAACATCGATGAGAGAGAAACATCGATCAGCTGCCTCCTGCACATCCCCCACGGGGGCTGCGCCCGCAACCAGGGTACATGCCCTTGACCGGAATTGAACCCGGGACCCTTCAGTCTGCAGGCCGACGCTCTATCCACTGAGCCAAACCAGTCAGGGCGAGGAACTGTATTAAAGGGTCGCGGCATTAGGAAGGTTGAGAACCACTGGGTTAGAGGGACACCTTTGAAACTTTATATCTTGCTTTTAGACAAATGGGTTGGGCTTTTTTTAGTATTTAGTTCTCAATTGCCTTTAGGCTCAAAAGAATCCTTCAGCCAAAGTGGCATATTTTGGGCCGTCATATTCTGCTACCATTCAGTATCCTCTCAACTTATGTGTATGTTTGAAAATGTCCATAATAAAAAAGTTTAAAAACAATGAGCAAACAAGCAGAACAATCAAAAAGGCTCTGCTTCATATACTTAGTCTGGAATCCAGTCTCATACTGTCTTCAATTTGTGGACTTACGGTCATCCCAGGATCATCCAGCCAGCAGATGAAGAAAGAGACCTGGAATGCAAGGACACACCCTTTCTTACTGCCTGTGTGCAACAGGGACACATCACTTCACTCACATTCCATTCAGAAGTGCTAAGGAGACAGTCTAGCTGCAGTTTGCCCAGAGTGTACATAGCTAGTCTTTGCTATAGAGCCAGAATATTTCTGTTAGTCCTATCGTTGTCTCCTGATTGACCACAGTTCCCTTTTTAAATCCATCTTTCCACAATTTTAAGCCTCAATTCTAACCAATTTCTTTTTTTTAAAATCCTAACCCGAGGATATTTTTCCATTGATTTTTAGGGAGAGTGGAAGAGAGAGGGAAAGGCAGAGAGAAATATCGATATGAGAGAAACACACACTTGGTTGCCTCCTGCTTGAGTGTGGCTCTTCCATGAAATACCACGTGCGGGTGTGAACTTACAGTGTGATTGAAGCTTTGTGGCCCATGTGCAGAAGTCGGTATTTTGTGGAAGAGGCACACTCAAGGGGCCAAAGAGCCGCAGTTTGCCGACCACTGGGCTAACCCAATTTCATTTGGGAAAACTCTTCCTCATTTCTTTAAAAAAAAAAAAAAATATATATTTTTTTTTATTGATTTTTTACAGAGAGGAAGGGAGAGGGATAGAGAGTTAGAAACATCAATGAGAGAGAAACATCGATCAGCTGCCTCCTGCACGCCCCCTACTGGGGATGTGCCCACAGCCAAGATATATGCCCTTGACCGGAATCGAACCTGGGACCCTTGAGCCCGCAGGCCAATGCTCTATCCACTGAGCCAAATGGGTTAGGTCAACTCTTCCTCATTTCTGCTCAGGTATATGTATAAGGTCTATCATCTTCCCTAATTTCCACTTTACGTAGCCATTTCTAAATCCAGTAAGTTACTTTTTGTTGGAAATTGAGGCTAAAAACCTAAGTCTCTGACTCCCAGCTGTAAATCACAGTTGATTGGTTCTGTCTGACATTGATTTGCCCCCTGCATTATAAACAGAAAGGTAAACAAAGGTATGAAAGGCCTCAGACCATCTAATTTATAGTTGCCCTCCTCTCATGCTCTCTTTCACTTGGTCATTGTTATTCTTCATTGCAGTTATTACTCTTTTAAATTACTTATTTCTTTGTCATGATTATTGTCTTTCTCACTTTGCTCACTTGGCGCTTACATTCTAGAACAGTGATGGCGAACCTTTTGAGCTCGGCGTGTCAGCATTTTGAAAAACCCTAACTTAACTCTGGTGCCTTGTCACATATAGAAATTTTTTGATATTTGCAACCATAGTAAAACAAAGATTTATATTTTTGATATTTATTTTATATATTTAAATGCCATCTAACAAAGAAAAGTCAACCAAAAAAATGAGTTCGCGTGTCACCTCTGACACGCGTGTCATAGGTTCGCCATCACTGTTCTAGAATGTGAGAAAGAACCATAAGCCAAGGATACTGAAAAGGGCCTTGGGAGCTCTGAAATGCTTCCTTCAGCTTTCAGGTTATATTAAAGGTGCATGATTATTACTGTGAATATTAGATGAAGAGGAATAATTTAACTTAAGCAAAACCAAATAAAGTAAATAACCATATATTGTATGAATGTAATATTACAAGAAAGTCTTCCTGGAAAAGTTTCATTTTCCCAGGATCACAGAATTGGTTGTAATTTCTCACAGTTTTATTCCATGTTATACTTTATACAACCGTTTTATATCCATTATCATTTAATCTTTATCATAGCATTTTGAGGTAGACGTTCAGTGGAGGAAACCAAAGCTCAGCAGTTGATACGCTGAAAGGCACCAGCCAGTTTGTGGCAGGGTTAGAACTTGAACCTAGATCTTCTGACTGGTGTTTTTCCCACTACGCCTTAGCGTAGCTATTTATTGTTATCATTCCCTTTTTGGATCTCTGTTGGGTTTTGTTCCATATTGGTGCCTTTACCCACCCAAATTATCTCTGCTGATGGCATTTCTGCCACTCTGATTCTGTTGCAGAGAGAAATAGAGATCCTGATGTTTCTCAGTGCCATCGTGATGATGAAGAACCGCAGGTCCAGTAAGTCTAGCCTGTTTCTCTGTCTCCCAGGGGTAGGCCTAAAGCCCTTCGGAGGTGTTTTCATTCATGTTATGAGAGAGGCATCACTTACTGTACCAGTCCCTCATTCCATGCCAACACTGAATTTGATCTTGGACTTTTATCCCCCTCCCCCACTCTCCCATTTCAAAGTATTCCAGGAAGAGGGACAAAGAATGGGATATAGGAGCTTGCTGCCTAGCCTGACCCGTGACATCTTTGTGTTTCAGTCACTGTGGAGCAACATATAGGCAACATCTTCATGTTCAGTAAAGTGGCCAATGCAATTCTTTTCTTCCGCCTGGATATTCGCATGGGCCTGCTTTACATCACACTCTGCATAGGTAAGGAGACTACAAGACTTGGTTGGAACCAAATCCAAACCAGTTTCTCCATAGTCTTCTTCCATACCTGTTCCTAATTATGTGTGTAGCTCAGACGGTATGAATCTAGAGACTTTAAGAGGAAGGGAATGTGTCAGTGGTCTATATATGTCCACAAAGTGTGTTCTTTGGTGCTTGAAGTCTTTGATTTGGTTTGAAAGTAAATCCTTGCCCAAGGCCTTATTTGTTTCCTTCAACATATTTTTTTCCTGTGTTTAGTGTTCCTGATGACATGCAAGCCTCCCCTGTACATGGGCCCTGAGTACATCAAGTACTTCAACGATAAAACCATTGATGTGAGTGATCATCCTCCCTCCCATTTCTTGGGTCTATTGTGGGTAAATTTGTAGTTGTGCACCCTACTCACTAGGAGGAGCACCTGGGCTTCAGAATGGAAGTCAGGGATACTTGGTTCATCATGGGAGCTAAGGGAGGCAGAGAGGGGAAGCCCTGATGAGGAATTAAGACGCTAAGGTCTGAACCTTTCCAGGAGCCTGTGTGATCCAGCTCACTGTTTCTTCCCTGTGTGTGGCAGGAAGAGCTGGAGCGGGACAAGAGGGTCACTTGGATTGTGGAGTTCTTTGCCAATTGGTCTAATGACTGCCAATCATTTGCTCCAATCTACGCTGACCTCTCCCTCAAGTGAGTGGTGCAAAGGGAGGGATGATGGGAATTGAGAGGCTGTACCTTCCCTCTCATTGTTTTTTGGCCTTAATTTTTGTACATTGCAACCAAGGCATCTCCTCCAATAGCTGTACTTCAACTTCCCTTGATCCATTCTTTCTTCTTACACTATGTTAAATAATATATCCTTCTCAGGTACAACTGTACAGGGCTAAATTTTGGGAAGGTGGACGTTGGACGCTACACTGATGTTAGTAAACGGTATGTGAGGGCCTGGGGAGAAGGTGTAAACAGGGAATCACTTCGAGCGATGTATACACATGCATTTACAGAGTACTTTCTGGGTCCTGTAGGTACAAAGTGAGCACATCCCCCCTTACCAAGCAGCTTCCTACCCTGATCCTGTTCCAAGGTGGCAAGGAAGTCATGCGGCGGCCACAGATTGATAAGAAAGGACGAGCTGTCTCTTGGACTTTCTCTGAGGTACAGGAAAGAGTGGGCAAGTGGTTTGGAGAAGCATATGGGACAGTAGGTGGTCTTTGAAACCCAACCTGAGTTGGATTCCTAGCTCTACCACTTACCCACAATGTGGACTAGTTATTAGACCTCATTCATGAATTCACTCAGCAAATTTATATTATGCTTCTCCTGCTAGTACTGGGAAATTATTAGTTAAGATTCAGTCTTAAAGGACCTGTATCTATAGTCTGTAGCCCCTAGGTTCCTTAGCAGTAAATTGGAGACAGTAATACCTGGCTCATGGGGTTGTTTTGCAGATTACATTATTTATTTATTTTTTTAAAATATATTTTATTGATTTCTTACAGAGAGGAAGGGAGAGGGATAGAGAGTTAGAAACATCGATGAGAGAGAAACATCGATCAGCTGCCTCCTGCACATCTCCCACTGGGGATGTGTTCGCAACCCAGGTACATGCCCTTGACCGGAATCGAACCTGGGACCTTTCAGTCCACAGGCTGACGCTCTATCCACTGAGCCAAACCGGTTTCGGCTGCAGATTACATTATTATGTAGCTATAATTCTTGGCACAGTGATTGGCATATAATAGGTGCTTAAGTATTAGTTGACTTTTAGGTACCCATAAAAGAGATTCAGATTAGAGTAAATTTCTGTGCTTTGCTTCCTCTTTTCCTAAACTGTGCCTAAATACTTATTTCCCAGACGCCGAACTCTCCCCCGCAACCCTGACCTCTGCATCTCTTTTGTGCAGGAGAATGTGATCCGAGAATTCAGCTTGAATGAACTGTATCAGCGGTCCAAGAAGCAATGGAAGACTGGGGATAATATTCCCGAGGAGCAATCTGTGGCCCCAACCCCCACAGCAGTGCCAAATGGGGAAAGCAAGAAGGACAAATAGGTTTCCTGCCTCATTAGTGCTTCCTTCTGGTCAATCCTAGGCACCTTTGAAGCCCTGCCCCTACTGTAACCACAGCCTTGCCTGAGTGAGGCTTCGCCTTTTATTTATGTTTTCCCTGTTTGGCTGTGCCTGGGTGGTGCAGGGTGCTGCTTCTGATTTTAAAGAGGCATCCAGGGAATTGACAGGCACACTCCAGGAACCACGCCTGGGGCCAACTCTTTCACTGGAGGAAGGGAGAGATCTCATGTAATGGAAGAGGAAATGCTTTCCCTCCAAGCTTGGAGTGCTGCCCTCCACTCACACATCTCCACCATGTTGTTTTTCAGTATTCCTTACTGGACTTACAGACTACTTATAGTAGGTTAATCCCTAACAAGATGCCGGGGTACAGAGTCTGCACTAAAAATTTTCCCTCAAGGACCCTTACTTTAGGCCCCCTGGCTTGATCTTTGGCCTTCATTAAAAATAAACCTAGTTTTGTTACTCATCCCCAAGGACAAACCTTTGACCACAATATGGAGGTTGGGAGGAAAGGGAATAGAAGTTTGAGACCTTCCTTTGTGGGGTCAGCCCGGAAGAGAGACCTAGGGCTGGATTGGGGTTTCCTCTTACCTTCCAAACTACTCTCCCACACCCAGTTGATGGTTTTCCATAATAAAGACACTGGGATTTCCTTTTGTTTGCGCCTCTGTGTATTAAAAACCAGGCAACTGCAAATGAATTGCTTAATTTCTTCGCAACTTCAAAGGCCATTCTCATTAGTTTCACCAAATGCCAATCATTGGTACTCAGGATTGGGGAGCGTTGGGGAAGAAGTTTCCTTAAATCCAGAGTTTGGGTCGCATCCCGTTAAATTGTAGTCTCTGCTTGGGTTAGGTCCCAGGGAAGCGGTTTTAATTGCGGGGGGGGGGGGGGTGTCGAGTTCATTATGACTATTTAGCCGCTCGTGCGGTTAAAGAAAAACCTGAAACCAGGATTGATTTTAGAGCTACCTAGTCCCTGTCCCTGCTGTGCCTCATGAATTCACCAAGCAGATTTGTATCAGGCGCAGGTGGTTAGGTCTGGTGCTCCCCCTACCCAGCGTGCAGAGCGGCTGTGCCCGGAGGTCCCGCCCCCGACCACGTGGGCCACGCTTTCCGCTGCTGGCGGGAGGTTTTGTTCTAGGAGCGGAGTGTTTGGCCTGCGGTTTGGAGCTCGCAGAGGGGTCGTCCGCTGCTCCGTGGCCGCGACTCCACCCTGTTCCCGGGCCGGCTTCCAGGCACCATGGCTTCCCGCGGGAGGAAGCGGAAGGCCGAGGCGGCGGTGGCCGCGGCAGCTGAGAAGCAGGAGAAGCTGGCTGGCGGCCAGAAGGAGGTGGAGGAGGCGACGGTCGTTATCGAGCATTGGTGAGGCGCCCGGGGCGTCTCCGAGGGGCGGGGGGGGGGGGGCGGAAAGGGTTCCCGCACCCCGAACCCTGGTCTCTGACCCCCCCCGTCTCCTAAAACGAATTGAACCGGGTACGGGCGCAACCCCCCGGCCCTGAACCAAGGGCTGCGCCTGGAGGCCCCGGAGCTCCCGGTGAAGGTGAACCCTGCCAAGGCCCGGAGGGGCAGCTTCGAGGTGACGCTGCTGCGCCCGGACGGCAGCAGTGAGTGGGGACCCGGGGCTGGGAGGGGGGCATGGTTCGGAGGACAGGAAGGGCTGGGCTCATGGCGGGGGAGAGAGTAACGTCGCCTCCGGTCCTTCCCCAGGTGCGGAGCTCTGGACTGGGATTAAGAAGGGGCCCCCACGCAAACTCAAGTTCCCTGAGCCGCAAGAAGTCGTGGAGAAGCTGAAGAAGTACCTTCCGTAGGAGGCTTGGGCTGAAATCCTCATGCTGAGGTTTGAAATGGGGGCGACGGTCTAGGGAGGGATTGGGCTGATCTCGGTGTGGATATTTATTTTCGAAGCAACTGTTACCCCGCGTTTCACAGAGGAGCTACATTTTATTTTTCATAACGCTTTAACTGTTAGTATTTCCTCTATTGGGAATACCTCTTTCCCTTTATATTGGTGGGAAAAACTGCACCCAGCAATTTTTTTTTTCTTTTTTACTGTTTTCTATCTAGTGTGCCCTTTACAAATTCCAGGTTTTATTTCATAATCTAAGTTCTAAGACTTGGCTCAAAGGCAATTGTAAATGATTTATAGAAATGCAATTTATGTCCTTTGAAGGTGCAGTTAAGTATTGTCCTGAGGGTATGGGCTGGTTTTGTAAAAAATTTCATTTTCCACACCCCTGGTGGTGTATTGAATCTTTGAAGTGGATTGTAAATCCTACCAGTATCCTCATTTATGAGTTCAACAAAATCACTGACACGTGTGTGTTTGTATGGGTTGTGATTCCCCCTTTTATTGGCAAAAATTTTTGTATAACTTCATGCATACTTACCCCAACCCTCTTGTTTTTTGTTCCTAGTAGGGTCTTTCTATTAATAGTCCCATATGGTAACACTTCATTACTGTACTCTTAGTCACTTAAACTTGTCCTTGTCTTCATATCTAGTGGTTCATACAGTGCTTTCATATGTCATAGGTATGTGCCTCATAACCTTGATATGTTGAGATGTGGGAGGAGGATGCAATCCTTGAGCTCTCCTGAGTCTTTGGGTTCAAGGATAGAGGAACACGCCTTCCTCAGGCTATATGATTGCCTAGATCTCTTTTCTAACATTTTTTTCTCTCATTTTCACAGCTTTCTGTTCCTGGTGATGTTGGAACATTTATGACGGGACATGGCCAAACTACAGTTATGTGCCTGAAGCTATAGTTTCTTCCCCTGCAGAATTGATGGTTCAGTTGTGAGGCAACACTCTAGTAAGGCATTGAAAAGTTCTTGGATTTGGTTTAATAAAAGTTGAAATAAAGTTCTTGACTAATAAAGTTAAAATTATATGGTAAGGGATGAAAGCCAACCTTATGGGATTGGTCCCCTTTGTATTTTTCATAGCCTAAAGTCACCAGTTAACTTGAAACTCCTAGGGTGTCTGGTAGACCATGTGAAATATTTGTAAAAACTTTGGGGGAAAATAACTTTTTTTAAAGCTACTATCTTGGAAGTGATGACCTGACCATCCAGTGGCTTGGAACTGGTCATTTCTTGGTCTTCCTGGCCCCTGCAGAGATTTTGGCTAGACTTTCCAAACTGGGAATAAATAAGCCCCACATATAAGGTGCTGGACAATGTCCTCTCACTCCCATACACTTTTGTGTCCCACTGCAGCATCGCTTCACACCTTCTGGAACATTTTCTCTGACAGAACTACTGCAGAGGATGTACTTAATTTTTCCTGAATTCTCTGGAAGACCTGGCCTTGGCTGTTACCTATGAACCACTAGAGTTGGAGACCTCATAGTTTATTATTCTACTTATTTGTAACTGGGAAGTAGATTAAAAGGAACGAAGAAGGTTTAAGTTCATAATTTTCTACCCATGGTACTAAATTTCTGCCCAGCTCCCAAAACCTGGGGAGGGGAAAGCATGGCCTAAGGAGAGCAAGGGGAATGCCTGCCTCTCGTGCTGAGAGGGCAGACATGTGCTAGCTTCTCTGCCAATACCACTTTTGCTAGCCAACATTTCCCATCCTCCCAGTGCCCCTGAACTGCCTTCCCTATCCACTAGGTTAGTATATCTACCTCTGTTTCTGACTCTGAGGAAGGGTCTGGCCATATGGAGGGAATACTGGTAGGTACTAGCTTCCCCTCTGCTATCCAGTCTACCACATCAATCTCTTCCTCTTCAGAGCTGGCAGAAGGTAGGTCTAACAGCTCAGAGTTGCTAAGTACCTCCTTGCCTGGTTCTGGGGCAGGGTATAACACCTCTTCCATAGTTAGGGATACTTCCAGCCCTGTCTCTACCCAGTTAGAACAGGGAGGTAAGAGGTCCCCATAGGACCTTTGGGGAAGGTCAAGGGAGTCAATGTGAAGAAGTTTGTCCCCCTGACCATCCAGTGGCATGGAACTGGTAATTTCTTGGTCTTGATTCCAAGAGTGTCCTACAGAAAGCATCTCCCCTTCACTAATCTTGGAGGGCATGACAAGGGGGCTAAAGGGTTCAATTGGCTCTTTGTTCTCACCCACAGGTTCCTTTTCTAATCCAGTTAGCTCTCTGGGCCAGAGTTCCATGCCTGGTAAATACCATCCTTCCCCTTCGATCCAATTCTTCCCTGTTTCTGTCAAGTGATAACTAGGGGTCCTGCAGCCCTCAGCTTCAGGACTCTCCAGAGATACTGTAGGTGGCTCAATGTCTGAGCCACATAGCATGAAGTCCAGGATCTCCTCCAGCTCACTGGTGGCAGCAACACTTGTGATTCGGTACTCCTCGGCTTCACAGGGCTGTTCTAGCAGGGCTGTGTCAAATGCATATGGCTCTGTGCAGTCAATATCGAATCCAGGTTCCTTCCCTACCAGCTCTGGACTGGATCCAAACTCAGACTTCACTACTGGGTGGTCTGGGGAGCGGCTAGCAGAGAGCAGAATGTCTTGTAGCTTACAGGACACAGGGGAATCCTGACACAGGTCTATTCTAGTAGATGACATTTCCTGCTGGTTAACTGAGGATGCCTGAATTCCTGGAGGCTCTTCTGAGTCTCCAGGTTCTGGGACACGAGGGCTATCTTTAGAGGTTTTGAGGGGAGGTTCTTGTACCACTTCCCAGCAGGTCCCATTAACAGTCTTCCTAAGCTTCACTCTCCCAACCTGCCCCTCTTCTGCAGAGTCTAAGTTAGGTGCCCTGACTTCAGGGCTCCATTTCTTACTCCCACCCATTTTTCCTAGACCAGATGGGCTTGAGGTGCTTTGTAGAGGACTAGCTCTCCCTGGTGTGTGCTTGTCCTCTAGCACTTCTTTCTTTATACTCTTTTGTCGCCAAAGACGCCGGCCAGGGGTTGCTGGCACTGAGCTGGATCCACTTAAAATGCTGGAAGGCTTGGATGTACAGACATCAGGTGATGGCTTTGAACGACTCAGCCTGATCTTTCTGGGCAATAGTCGCTTATCCACAGAGGGGTACAAGCTGGGTGGGGAAAGCTCTGTAGGACCAAGGGCAGGGTCACTCTTATTTTCTTTAGATCCCTGACTGTGGCTTGATGGCGAAGAGCTTTCTTCTTCCGGAACTGGGCAGGCTCTGGCCTTCCTCTTGAGCAGGAGAGTGCCAGATAAGTTCCCTGCATTCTGTTGGTTGCTCTTGTCCTGGGGCCCTTCGTCCTTCCCTGACAACTTCAATCTCACTGCCCCAAGAGGACAAGGAGTCTGGGTAACAGGCAGTGGAGTAGGGCAGTGGCTGGATGCCACCACCCTGGCAGAGATTGGTGCAGCACTTGGAGGTTGTAAGCACTCCCGGTTCAGTCTTCGGCCCTGAGGGGCCTTTACTAACTTCCCACCTTCTAGCTGAAGGGATTCTAGCTCAGATATGCAGAGCTGACGGGCAGCAGAAAGCACATCTTGGGCTTCTTCCAGAGATACTTCCATTTCTGAGGTATACAGGAAGTCCACCAGCTTCCTAAGTGTTGTGATCTTCAGGCCCCCCAGCTCCAGCACCACCTTACAACCCTGAGCTGGCCTCTCCTGCTCCAGGCGCTTTGTGAAGAAGGGGCTGCAGGCAGACAGGATACAGCAATGGGCTGGGACTACCTCACCTGGAGGGAAACCCAAACACTTGG